TTATTAGGTTGTTTGCTTCCTGCTAATATTTGTAAATTTTGGTAAGTACATGTTTGGCCTGGTATGCACAGGTCATGCCATGAGGGATGAGCATAGAAGCTGATTTATGATGGACTACAAAGTAGATTATTATCTATATTCCAGGACCTTCTATCCTCATAGCTATCTGAACACATGGTAAGGGTGGTAGTTATGATACAAAGTTCAGTGGTTGGGGTTGTCTGCCTCATGCTTTCACTCTCGTAGGAAATAATGCAGGTTTGTTATGTGGATGTGGGGAATGTCCTGATATTTGAAATTGTTGTCAACTGCATGATTCTCGTTTGGCTCACTTTGGAACCATTAAGAAGGATAGTTTGTCAAAGAAGTTTGTTGACCAATATGGATTATGATGAGGTTAGAAATCTGCATTTGGTTAGATCATGGATTGTGAATGAGCTCTTCATTTAGCTTGAGTGAGTTTATGATGGTTATACGAGGCATGGTTGAGTAGTCTATGACTCTCGACAATTTTTGGAGATCCAGTCAAATGATCTCTATTATGAATGCTGGACCTCATTGTGATTTTGTCAACAGTTCTTGTGATTTTGACCTTTTTACTTCTTATCTTTGATTTTTACCTTTATTTCAGAGGCGATTCAAGTCATGGTTTCTTATTGGCAGATGAGTCCTCAATGGTCAAGCAAGCATCCATAGCTTCTCTGATGGACATCACTTCCTCGCTTCCTCCCCATTACATGGTAAAGCTTGCTGAAGTTGCCACTTCTGAGGTCATCTCACCGAAGGTACAATCTGATCTCGGTCAGAAAGTCATGCTTTGGGGGCCTGTTAATTGTTTCGATTTTGTTATATGTGCTTGTTTTTAGTTCACTAGAACTCTTGAATTGTTGTTTCTTCGATAAATCAACTGAAAAGGTAAACCAATTTGGCATTCTTTTGTTGATCGAATATGCCATGAAAGACTTAATAAGATTGATTCTCTTCAATTTGTGGACATCTAGTCAAATGATTTCTACTGAGTGCTGGACCTGACAGTCATTTCGTCAACTTCTTCCGGTGGTTTGCATTAACAATGACAGCAAAGATCGTGCAGCCTTTTCACTGGGGCTGAACTATGATATTTTTATTCATTATTTCATTATGATGAAATTGTGCATATTCTAATCTCGTTGCTCCTCCTAAGCGCAATTGTTGTCTCATGACCTCTTAGGTTGTCATAGGTTATTGTTTTGCTCTGTTCTCTCCCTCTATAATAGTAACAAATTTTATTCTATATATCTAGTGAGAGCTTTATTTTAGTTAATTTTTTGGTTGGTTCTGTGGAAACCTTAAACTTAGCTTAATTCAAAATGTTTCTTTTTCCACTAATTGTTTTGACATTTTCTATTTTTTATTTTGTTGGAAGCATAATTTCTTGCAATTCAGACATATTCACCTGGATGAAACTTTTACCTACATAATCTTGGAATTTCTTCACCAGGTTAATCAAACAATGCCGTGTTTTGCCCTCAACTCTCTGTAAGTTGTCCTATTGGTACACTGCTCTTGTGGGATCTATTAAAGTCTTGATGTGTTGGTCTATGGCGTCATAATCATCTTACGACAGGGATTTTTAGATTTGTCATCTCCTTTATATGGTTATATTAATTTGTCGAATACACTGCTATGTGGGATCTGTTAAAAATCTTGATATGTTGGTCTATGGCATCATAATCAAATTCTGAGAGGGATTTTAGATTTTTCATCTCCTTTAGATGGTTATATTAATTTGTTGGATGACCGATGGAACTAACCATTCGTACGTTCACTTATTTGCCACATCAATGCAGGCCCCCTCTCCCACGCATATGTCTTTCACATAATTTAAAATTATGTTGTGATTTTTGTCTGCCGAGTGCTTGGTTTTTTATTTCTGCATCAATGTGTTTATCTGCACCCTTGCATGTGGCAAACTTATAATGAAGTTCAGTATTTCTTTATGACAGATGGTGTCGTGTACCCTGAGGGTTTATTTGTTTTCCTTCTAAATGTGAGTAGTTCCTGAGTAGCATTATTTTTGTTTTGTATCATTTACCGGTCAAGTTTATCTCACCTCCACCCCACCCCATCACCATAGATATGGGTTCGGGGAAAATTTGGTGTTTGGTACTAGCCTTCGTACTGCACAATTCTTGTATAATTTAATATTGTTTTCATTGAGTGTTCTGTGTCATGAAATATGTTGGCCTTTGACACCAAAAATGCACAGGGTTAAAAGAAGTGACTTTTGGGGCACAGGCACTATCTGTTTTCAACATCAGTTGACAAGGTTTGTTCTCTTTATATAATCTGTTATCTTATTTACAGTTGTCTTTCATCATCTGACTTCCGTATCATTTCCCTGTGAAGTTGTTGGAAGCTTGGCACAATAAAAGGCTATATTTCATTGGTTGAAGCTGTGATGCTGTTGCTTGAGGAGAGAGTTATGGGGGCTCGTAAAGCTCTTTCGGAGGTACCACTGTAGGTTTTGTCATAGCATCAGTTCAAGACGACCAATTTTTAGCTACTTTATAATACGTGATTGTGTTTTTTTCTGGTTGTAGTTTATTATGGTAATGGCTTTGCAGTGTTACCTGATTGGTCCTTCACTCCTTCTGGAGGGTTGTTTGTAGAGTATCTTGTATGCCGTTGTGCAATAAAAGATTGAGAGAGGGATGATCTTGAGGGCTTTACGGAATTCTTTAAGTCAAGCGGAACTTATTATCCTTCCAATACAAGAGACGGGACGGGAGGTTTACATATGGCACTTTTAGTCCAAATGATGGCCACATATTCCTTCCACCCTGTCAACTCAAACACAAGCCCAGTCCTCAGAGCAAAATAAAAGAAATACTTCAAGGGGATATGTGACACTGACATTCTATTCCATTGGATCAATATTGGGTGGTCCTTCATTATTGATTTGTATCTCCAATTATGCTCTAGGATCCCTGCGCTGTCAAAGTTGGTTTTTTTCGGTTAATTTCAGGTAGTAATGGATACCACTGGTGGATTCCTATGGGTTTGTCAGTTGGACCCAATTAATTTTAAAATGGATGTTCATACTTGACCAAAATTAACAAAAATCGAAATTAACAGGATCTAATTTGTTCAATTATTTTTTGTTGTCATGTGCCATATTTTTTTGCTTAGTGTCATAATTATTGCATATATGTGGTCATTTGTGATGTAGTGTAGTTAGCTTAGTTCTCAATGTGCTTAGGTGAAGGCTGACACAGTCTGTCTGGCAGAGTTACGGGCCGTCTGTGAAAAGGTATTTTTTTGATACCCATCATCATTCCTGAATTGGGTTTACTTGAATGTTGATCCTATATTTTGTCACATATTTTTATTTTGTTTGGATACTTCTTTTCTTGTTTATGATGGGTGTACCTTATCATGATTAAAATCATGTTTGTGGTATTTGCAGCATATTGCGTGGCCATTTTTGCTGGAGATGATCATACCATAATAGCCATAGGATTACATTGGTGCAAGTGCCACGGTTAGTTTGACAGTACAACTTTTGACACTTTTTTCTAACATTTCTTTGGAGCTTTTGGGGGCTTGCATAAATATTTTCTTCGTTTTGATGAGGGGTTGGAATTTCGTGAATGTTAGAATATTGCTGGCATTTCATTTCAGTGTAGGTAGTGAGTCCTACATTGCAACAATTTTGATATTTGACTATGAGTTAGCCATCTTTACAGGTTTGCTAATGCATCAAAGAATTATGCAGACATAGATCTTCTCATAGGGACACAATGCTTTCTAAATGTAAAGCTCGGATTGATATTCCATATCCTTTGGTAAAATTAGTGATTGGCGTGCACTTAGGTATTATACGTTCATAGTTCGTACACTTATTTGAACAACTGAATGACAACTATCTGTGTGGTGCACAATAATTTAGGAACTCTATGCCTACCTGCCAGTGCTTCTACATAGAATATAGACATATCCTCAAATCTAATTGTATGTGCCCTGACTCTTGCTTGTTATTCACTTCCGTATTCCATATATGCAGCTGGTCGCAGGTAATTTTGATAGAATAAAATTTAGTCATGGAAACAATACAACCAATGTTTCCTTCATCTATAGCTATACTATTAATAGAAGTATGGATGTATGAAAAACTTTTGATCATCTAAATGTCCTTATCAAAATACTTAATAAAAAAAGTAGTCTCCCATAATTATTAGAATCATTCAAAACACTGCCTCTTTTTTAATAGCTCAAAACAATAATTGTCTCCCCATATTCCTTAATTATATAACTTCCCCTACTATTTAAAACTTAGCTACAAATTTCCCCTTTTTAATAGGCACGATAATGTCTAATCATATCAATAATAAAAATTTTGTAAATGCCAAAAATATCATTAAAGACATTGAATAGATTAGTATACCAAAAAATACCGACTAAATGACATAGCTCTTAAGAAAAACAAAATGTTCAAATTCGTAGGCCGGTGCATGTCCGACAAATGTGGATTTCATTTAAATTTTCATATTCATTTGTTATTTATTTGCCTAAGATACCATATGCATATTTATTTGTGTTAGCATTTTTTTATTTCATTCAAATGGAAACCATGCCCATTCCAGCAGACTCTTACTTGTTCTATCTGAATCTTATGAGCAGTGTCTGAGGCCGATCATCAGGGAGAAGTTGGTAGCTCTCAAGATCCGTGATTTTGGGGACTTGGTGGACAGAGCTGCACTGGTAGAGAGAGACATAAAGGATAGCCATCGACGATAGGGCTTTTCGAGAGGAGGTCCAATTCGGACGGGTGCTAGCACTAATGGGGCACAGAGACCGACACCATACCATCGCCCAGCCAGACAGGTGGACAACGACTTTTGACAGCCCGAGGAGAGGGAGACACTCAGACTAGAGCCGGTATTACCCCCCCGATCCTGCTTTTCATGCGGAGGTGTGGGGCATATTCGGATGCATTGCCCAGTTTTTTCACCTCAGGGGCCTATCCAGACCGCCAGATAGGTACCAGCAGCCCAACCACCACCACCGAGGCCTGCACCGCAATGACCGATACAAGCTCAAGCCCCCGGCGGTGCCAACCAAGGGCGAGTATTGGCTTTGACTCAGTCGGGGGAGGACATTGTCAATGCCGGTGTGGAAAGTATCGTCCTTATTTACAATTTTGGGCCCGAATATTATTTGACCACGGTGCAACACACTCATTTGTACGCACGACATATGCACTTGATTTAAGATTGAGTTTCACGAAGTTAGAGCATGTTATGAACATTAGTTTGACCCACGGAGAACGATTAGATACTAACCGAGTTTGCAAGGGTTGCGTGCTTCGCATTGGGGAGCACGAATTGATTGTGAATTTGATTGCTTTAGAGATAAAGGGGTATGATGTGATTTTTAGGATGAACTTGTTGTCCGCTTTTCGGGCGGTAATGGATTGTTTCCGCAAGCGGATTATATTTCAGTTACCGGAGCAGTCATTTTCAGTTTTGTGAATAACCGAGATTCTTTTCATCAATTTCCTACTACGGGTAGTAGATTCTTAAAAGCGAAATTGGGAAGTTATTTGAGTTTCTTAGCTAGCTTGATGGGAGATGATAGGGATAAAATTCATACAGATGTAGTGTTAATTGTATTGGAGTTTCTGGATGTTTTTTCCGAGGAATTATCCGGATTACCGCCACATAGGGAAATTGAGTTTAACATCGATCTCTATCCGGGAACCGAACCCATATTCATTGCTCCCTACTGAATGGCACCTTTGGAGTTGAAGGAGCTAAGGAAGCCGTTTGATCACTTGTTGGCGATTGAGTTTATCCGTCTAAGCACTTCACATTGGGGAGCCCCGATCCTCTTTGTGAAGAAAACGCATGAGACTCTATACTTGTGCACGGATTACCAGAGGTTGAATCGGGTTACCGTGAAGAATAAGTATCCGTTGCCGAGAATTGATGACTTATTTGACCAGTTGAAGGGTTCGAAGTATTACTCTAAGATTGATCTTCTCATGGGGTATCATCAGCTATGGATTAAGGAAAAGGATATTCCTAAAACTGTTTTTTATACCCGGTATGGTCATTTCGAGTATACAGTGATGCCATTCGGATTGACTAATGCCCCCGCAGCCTTCATGGATTTGATGCACAGAGTCTTCCGGCCTTACCTCGATCAATTTGTCATTGTGTTTATTGATGACATATTAATTTACTCATAGACTCAAGAGGAACATGCTCGTCATCTCTTTATTGTGCTACAAATATTGAGAGAACATAAGTTATATGCGAAGATAAGCAAGTGTGAGTTTTGGATGAAGGAAGTGAAGTTCCTTGGCCATATTGTGTCCGAGCAAGGAGTAGCGGTTGATCCCGTAAAGATTGAGGCCGTGATGAAATGAGAACCACCAAAGAATGTAACGGAAGTACAGAGTTTCTTGGGATTAGCCGGTTATTTTTGTGGGTTTGTGGAAGGGTTCTCCAAGCTTACGATACTGATGACTTGCCTTACAAAGAAGGGGGAGAAATTTTTGTGGACTCAAGCGTGTAAACTAGCTTTTTACACCTTGAAGGAGAAGTTGACGACGACACCTATCCTCATTATTCCGAGTAGTGGAGAAGGCTACGATGTCTACACCGATGTTTCACTACGAGGCTTGGGATACATTCTAATGCAAGGAGGGAAGGTAGTGACATATGGCTCGAGGCAACTCAAGTTGTATGAGCAGAATTATCCCACACACGACTTGGAGCTGGCTGCGGTGGTGTTTGCTCTTAAGTTGTGGAGATATTATTTATACGGGGAGAAATTTCAAAGTGTTCTCAAACCATAAAAGCCTCAAGTATATCTTCACACAGAAAGACTTGAATCTCCGGCAGAGAAGATGGATTGAGTACTTGGAAGATTATGAGTTCATGCTCAACTACCATCCGGGGAAGGCCAATGTAGTTGTCGACGCTCTTAGCAGGAAGTCTCAGGGTGAAATCAATTTTTTTTTGCGGTAAATAGGTGGAAAATGATTAATGCATTGGAGGAGTACGATCTATGGGTGATGGACCATAGTATCAACCATATCTATTCAACGTTGTAGCTCAACCGATGCTTCGGCGACGGGTAGTGGAGTTGCAATGCCTGGATTCGGAACTCAATTGGATTAGAGCCCGATTGGAGAATGGAGAGGCGATTGAAGGATGGTCTTGGAAGAATTGAGAGTTGAGATATGGGGAGAAGTTATGTGTTCCCGATGATTCGTCCCTAAAGGAGGAGATACTAGGAGAGTGTCATCGCTCTAAGTTTGCTATCCACCCCGGTAGCACAAAGATGTATAGGGATATGAAGCGTCAATACTGGTGGAGGGGAATAAAGCGAGATGTGGCCAAGTATATGACAAAATGTGTAGTGTGCCAGCAGGTGAAGATTGAGCATCAAAGGTTAGGAGGAGTTCTACAGTCTTTGTCTATTCCAGAGTGGAAGTGGGATCACATTACCATGGACTTCGTGTCGGGTTTACCACGGACGTCGCGCGGGCATAATACAGTGTGGGTCATTGTGGATAGACTCACAAAGTCCGCTCACTTTTTGGGTATGAAGACCACGGATACATTCGAGACTTTGAGCCAGCTGTATATCCGTGAGATAGTGAGGTTACACGGCGTTCCGCTCTCGATTGTGTCGGATCGTGACTCTAGGTTTGTGGTGAGATTCTGGCAGAGTCTATAACAAGCGATGGGGACGGAGTTACACTTCAGTACAACTTTTCATCCCCAAACGGATGGCCAATCCGAGAGGGTGATACAGATTGTGGAGGATATGTTACGCGCTTGCGCGTTGGACTTCAAGGGGAGTTGGAGCGACCACTTACCGTTGGTGGAGTTTACTTACAACAACAGCTATCAAGAAAGTATTAGGATGACACCGTATGAAGCATTGTATGGAAGACCATGCCGATCACCGACGTGTTTGTTAGAAGTCGGTGAGAGTAGTTTATTTGGACTGGACATTGTTCGAGAAACTATGGAGAAGATTCAACTCATCCGAGAGAGGCTACGGACGGCGCAAAGTAGACAGAAGAGCTATGCGGACCACAAACGAAAACCCTTAGAATTCAAGGTGGGAGACTACGTATTTCTCAAGGTGTCACCCAAGAAAGGCATGTTTTGATTCGGCAAGAAGGGGAAGTTAGCGCCAAGATATACCGGACCGTTTGAGATAATCAAAGTGGTAGGTAAGGCGACATATCAACTTCGACTACCAGCCCAACTATCTGGAGTACATGATGTGTTCCACGTGTCCATGTTGAGAAGGTGTCACTCGGATGCAACTCCAGTCGTGAACTTGGAGGAGATTGAAATTCAAGACAGAGCAATCTACGAAGAACAACCGGTAGAAATTCTCGACGCCTAGGAAAAAGTGTTTCGCAACAAAGTTATCAGATTGGTGAAGGTTTTGTGGCAACACCATGGAGTGGAGGAAGCTACATGGGAACCGGAGCAAGAAATGCGGGAGAAGTATCCATATTTGTTCGCTACTTGAGGTAAGTTTCGAGAACGAAACTTTCTTTAAGGGATGTGGATTGTAACACCCCGCATTCTTTTTATATATGTATATAGATATATAGTAAATAATTGTGGTAAAAAAAATGTGGATATATGTAGTGATGTGTGTTTGAATTTGGTAGATTGAAAAAGTAGAGATTTAAAATGTTAGTGAAAATAATAGTTGAAATTTGATTTTAATAAGTGAAAATATGAAATTTTAGGTCCTAGAACTTGTATTAAATAGGTTTGGTGTAGAAATATGTGTTGGAGAGGTTTGAGATAGATTTGGTTGGCTTAGGAATGGATTGAAAATGGAAAAGAGACGAAGACGGGTAGTGAACAGTGCATGTGAACAGTGCACTGCTGCAACTTCAAACTCGATTTAGACCTTGATACAGTCAATATCTCTCAAAACTCAAAACATGAAAGTTTTAGAACTCTTTCGTATCATTCCATAGCATCTTGAATCATCTCAATCGGAACTTGGATGAGAGAGTTATGCTCAGATAACGAAACAATGTCGAAATAGTCCTATTAGCTTCGTTTTGCATTTAATGTCTCCATTTGAATCCTAAATCAAAATATAAGAAACACCTTTTATCACCTTTTACTTACAAACATCGCAAAACTTCATTAATAGTCGATTCAGATGGATAAAATAGAAACTTTAGTGTTTCGGGTGTACGTTGACTTGGATTTTGAGATAAATTATAAAAATAAATATTTTTAGGTTAAAATAACATTAAAAATGAATCCGGAACGTCGACAAACCTTAGGGTAATCATATGGATCAAATTGGAGATTCTTAGTGGTAAAATCGTAAATTTGGAGAAACCCAAAACAGCCTGTGAACAGTGTTTTTCGGGGTTGCTATGTTTTAAACTCATTTTCATCTCATTTGCTCTCATTTCCTTCACACCCCCACACCTCTTGAAACCCTAGAGAGCATTAGAGAAGAAGAAAAGAAGGGAAAAATAAGAGATTCAAGGGTGATTCAAGATCAAATATTCTTGTTCTTCACTCCAAATCTAAGGATTCAAGGTAGGAGTTTTCTCTCATTCACTTACATTGAGGCTAGGGTATTTATATATGTATGTTTTGGCTATCAATGGTATATATATGCTATGGAATCATCCTCTCTTAGGCTTTTTACAATGATTACATGTTTTGAACAAAGTAGGGTTTAATACCTATGAAATCTCCTTTCTAGTTTTAAAACCCTAATTTTTGGAAAGTGATGTATTTTCTTCCTAAATGGTTTATTTATTATGAATTTCGAAACCTTAGTGCTTTGTGTTGGGTAGAAAAATGATGTTATTGTGATCTCATTTATTTTCTTAGTTGGTTGTGAAATTGTTATATGATATATTTTGGAGATTTTGGATAGATGCTTGTAAATTGAGATAAATGTTAGAACTGTATGCTTGGTTGGGTTGTTTGTGATGCACATGAGTGAGAGGTTCCTTGTAAGGATGCTCATCCCTTCCCAAGAGGTTCCCGGTAAGGATGCTTGAGAAATAATGTAGTGATTGGTGAGAGGTTCCATGTAAGGATGCTCATCCATTTCAAGAGGTTCTCGGTAAGAATGCTTGAGAATCAAAGGTGACCTAAAGGGAGGTGGAGGTTACCACAAAGTATGCCACCTACCAAAAAAATTGTTGGGAATTGGTTATGATAATTAATAGTTATTATTTGTATGTGGTGCTCATTTATTCATTTAAGTAATATTTTTAAATAAATTTGAGATCCTTTTTAAATGTCATTGCTTTATTTCAAATTATGTATCTATGTTATGTTAAAATTGAGACCGATCGTTTTAAATACTTTTCTAAACCTTGTATGGATTTGAGAGAATTTTTCTACAGAGATTCGTGCTCACCCCCTATCGTTAATATTTTTCAGATTACCCGTTTGAGGAGGAGGACGTAAGGATCATGGAGCCCGCTACTTGGGAGACTCCACTGGACGGGAGTGTGGATCCCGAGGTGGGCGCAAAGAGCAACCTCCTTTCCTTTTGTACTAGACTAGGACATTCTTTTGGAATATTGTGTAGTTTAGCTTTTTTTGTTTATTCCGCTGCGCTTCTTTAATTAATTTTTGAGATGAAATAGTCATGGCTTGGGCTTATTCTTTTGGATAATGTTGCAAATATTCGTGGATGACAAATGAAGTCTTGTTTCTTAAGGGATTATATTAGTGCTCTCATGATATGAATAGTTTTAAAATGTAATGCCGTCCAGGGTGTGTTTTGGGGCGTTACAGGATTCAGTCATGCTTTTTCTATTGAATAGATTAGCGCTTTGATTATGTTTGGATCAACTATTTATCTATATTGATTTAATTCTTTTCTTCAATATCGATTCTTAAATATATTGTCGTCGCTGAACTTTTTTAATAGTGATAACAGTTTACGTATTTTCAAATTGGTGAATGATTTTTCAAAGGGTTACATGTGGTTTAATCTTGGTTTATAAATCTATACCTTCCGCTTGGGAATTTTGGGAATTGCATTCCCAATTGAGTTTAGGGGTGTTCACCCTACCCTACGGGGTAAAAAATATATTCTTTCGTCTTCCTACCTGATATTTTGTAAAAGAATTTTTTCTTGACCTACCCTCCCTGATCAGGTGTGGTATTCCTACCCGATTAATCGGGTAGGAAGTCGGCTAGGAAGTCAGGTAAACATTTTTGTAGTTATTAATTTTTGGATCATTTTAACAATTTAATTAAATAACATCCACCAATTTAACAACACAATAAATCAATATCACTAAAATCTAAAACAAATGCAACAACAATTATAATTAACACAAGAAAACATGAATATCAATCCACCATAATTATTACACAAATACAATAGCAATTATTTTAAGTTTAAACCATATGAAATATATTAAAATCATAATTGCTCCTCTTGTGGCTGTTTACTAATTCACCACAAATCATATAATTTACACAAAAAACAAATTCATGTTTTAGCAACTCAAACATCCATAACAATAACAACGGTATAATATAAATTATATTACACAAATACTCTTATAATTACTAAAAAAATATAAAAAAGTTAAATACCACCTTTTTTGCTAGTGTCATTCACCTCTCTTCACTCAAGAGCAATTGTAATTGTCTCTGTAGTTATTTCTGAGATAAAAAAAGAGTATGGAAAAAAATTAGATACGAAGAACTCATCAACAAATAATAAAAAAGTAACAATAAAAGTATAAAAACCTGAATCTAGTTTATAGCTTTATGAATACTCCAAAACATCTTCAAAGTCATAAGCAATGGATGCCAATTGAAGCCAATTTTGTGCACATATGAGACCCTCAATTGTTTTAGGTGCCAGACAACTCCGAAAATGATCTAAAATACGACCCCCAGTACTAAAAGTCGATTCTGATGCCACCATAGAAATGAGAATAACTAACACATCATGAGCTATTTTGGTAAGAATCGGGAATTTAGAAGAATTAACCTTCCACCAATTCAAAATATCAAAATTGGCACTAATAAATTCAACATCTTCCATCAAATATCAATCAAACTCTAATTTGTTGTCCATATTACCTAACATGCATAAATTCATTTTCTAAGATAGTGTTATTTCCATTCTTAGTTTGCATCTTTAAATAATCAAGAGTACCATCATTAGAAGTAGCATTATCCACTGTAACAGTAAATATGCTATCTATCCCCCACCCAAGCATGCATGCTTCAATTTCCCTTCCAATTGTCACACCTCTATGATTAGGAACTTTTAAAAAATTGATTATTCATTTGTGTAACTTCCAATCTTTATCAATGAAATGTGCAGTTAAGGACATATAAGTTAGATTTTGAATAAATGTCCATGTATTAGTAGTAAGGCAAACCCTTTGACTAGATGAGACAAACATATTCTTCAATTTTTCTTTCTCCATCATATATAATTGCAAACAATCCCTCATCACAGTGGTACAGGAAGGTATACAAAATCTAGGTTCAACAGTCCTCATCAAGTCTCTAAATCCTCCTTCTTCAACAAACCGGAACGGAAATTCATCCACCATAATCACAGTAGCAATTGCCTCCCTAATTTTCTTTTCATTGAATTTAGCAACACTAAGGTTACTACTAACACCATCTCCATCGTTTTTGAATGCACCAATTAACTTTAATTGAGATGTGTCCTTCTTATTCACACTCATCAAATAGGATTTACAGTGATCTAAATGATAAAGTGAGGATGAAGTACCTATTTTTCTTGCATGATAATTGTAAATCTTACCACAATGCTGACATTTAGCTTCATATGCAACTTCAATCTTTCTAAAAAATGCTCCCAAACTCTAGATCTTTTTTTAAATCTTGTACCTCACATTGAATGCCATCAGTAACTTGGATGTTACTGTTAGAATAAGCTTGAGCAGGTGATTGTGGAGTAATTTCATCCATAAACAAATGATCTATGAACAAAAATAAAATATGGAGTTTGTATAATAACTGATATGTTGGAATTGTAAACATCTTGGGCAAAGTTAGTGTCATGTATTCGATACACATCATCCCAATAAGAAACAGTATAAACTTGTCAAAAAATAAACATCTAGAAAGTTAGAAATAAACCTAGAAATAAATATCAAAATAAAAGTTTTGTGGCCAAGCTTAGCCAATTTCCTAATAATAATAAAAGTTCAATAAACTCCATTTGTTTGCAAAATATACATGAAATATCGATCTTAGTTAATCATATGACTACACCCATATGATTAACTAAGATCTCATGAATAACAAATCAAAAGAAAAGCAATTTCATGGATCTAGAAATGCAAAAAAGGAAACTAGTAAAAGCGGATAAAAACCCATTGATCTACAACATAGGAAAAAAGGCTAGGCCATCGTGATCTGCAACACAGGATAAAAACTCATTGATCTGCAACTCAGACCAGACCATCATGACTCAGACCAAATAACTCGGACCAGATGACTTAGACCAGACAACTCAGACCAGGCCATCGTGACTCAGACCAGACAATTCATGAGAAAGCAAGGTCGCACAGAGAGAGAGAGAGAGAGATAGAGAGAGAGAGAGAGAGATAAAGAGCATAGATCTATTACTGTAGACGAATGACCAGATCGTGCACAGATCTGTTACTGTAGATGAAGGTTTGCGATCAAACATTTCAAGCCAGACTACACCAGATCGAGCAAAGAGAGAGAGAGAGAGAGAGAGAGAGAGAGAGTACTTGGGAATCAGATTGAACGATGAAGGAGGAGCAATGGAGTGAGGTGTGACTTGTGAGGCTCTCTCGGGACTCAGTAGACGATTAGGGTTTTTTTAGTTTATATATGGCTTCCGCATTCCTACCTGACTTTTGCGGCTAGCCGTTCAGAAGAGTAGGGTAGGAAATTATGACCAGTCAAAAATTTGAACACCCCTAATTGAGTTATTCAATGAATTAAGAATAATTAAAATACCAGATTTGTGCAAGGGATTCTCGATACTTTACTGTTTGTCAAATTTGAGTACTTTTTCTGTTAGTCACTTTGCTTCACTTTGATTTGCATTTAAAATTAATCTTTGTTCTCCAGTAATCATTTAATACTTTTCTTTAGTTTCTTGGTTCATTCTAATATTCTTATAATTTGTCTCTTTGTGGAATTGACACTCCAAAGCTGTGCTACAACTACCGCGTTATTCTTTGGGCATAATCAAATTTTGGCACCGTTGCCGAGGAGACAGTAGAAGAATTGTTAGATAGTTTTTTTTTTCCTTTTCAACAGTTTGCAAAGGCAGTAACTTCATTCCTTCTTTTAGCTTGATGCATTGTTATTATTATTATTATTATTATTATTATTATTATTATTATTATTATTATTATTATTATTTATTTTTATAGTATTTTTGTTCTTTTAGTATTTCATTGCCTTGCATGCACAAATATAGAGTTAGAATCATAATTTTTAAATCCTTTATTTGACAATATATCGAGTCCCAAAGAAATGGGTGAACACGAAGATTAACTCATTAGAACTTTTCATGATTACCTCCACCCTACACACACAGCCACACCATCATGCATTATGTTTCCAGCTAATACTCGCCAATTAGATTTTAAAACAGGGATGATACAGTTACTCCCTAATTTTCATGGCTTGAAAGATGAAAATTCATGTGTGCACATTAAGGAGTTTGAGGAAGTAGTTGCACTTTTCATAATCAAATTGCACTTGATGAGGTTATGAGACTTAAGTTCTTTCCTTTCTCTTTGAAGGATAGAGCTAAGAGTTGGTTATACTCACTGAGACCACGATCTATTGGGTCATGGGATGAGATGACTCAAGTTTTCTTTAATAAATATTTCCCCCAACATAGGACCAACGCTTTAAAAAGGCAAATTTCTCCCTTTGCACAAAAGAACAGTGAGACTTTGTATCAGTTTTGGGAGAGATTTAAGGAGTTGTTGAGTGTGTCCTCACCATGGGTATGAGAATTGGTGTTTAGTGAGCAATTTTTATGAGGGACTTACACCTAGAGAGAGCCAATTTGTGGAGATGATATGTAATTGTGAGTTCTTACAAAAAGATCCTAATGAGGCCATAGAATACCTTAATGAACTTGTTGAAAAAGCTCACACTTGGATTGGACCTAGTGCTACTACAAGCACAAATAGGTCACGGCCTGCAGGAAACCCAAATGGTGGTAGAATTTACCATCTTAGGGCAGAGGATAGCCTAAAGGCTAAGGTTAAGATGCTCATTAGGGAGCTAGATGTGTTTAAGACTAAGGAGAACACACATGGCTAATCATGCAGAGTCTTTTGGACCATGTTTTGTGTGTGGCGGGGTAGATCCCTCGCTCAAGAATGTCCCACACTTGCTGATATAAGAGGGATGTATGAGGAACAATGTAATGCCTTAGGCATGTACAAGAAACCTTTTATACCTTACTCTGATACCTATAATCCAGGTTGGTGCAATCACCCTAATTTTAGCTGGATATCTGAAAACTCGCTGCTTGCACAACCCCCTA